CTGCGCTAGAAGGTTCCTTTGGGTACTTATAAGGTAGGGTTCCAAGTACCCTGAATTGAAGTGTGCTAACCATAGCTACCGTACTTAGAGCTGTAGACTACTACTTCGAAGTAATTACCCACATGCCACCTTCAAGCAGAGTTTAGGGCAGCTGCTTCAGGGCCTCGGGCTAGAAAATCAGGTTGAGGGTTTAGGGTTTAAGGCTAGGAAATCAGGTTGAGGGTTTAGGATTTAGGGCTATAGGCTCATCTTTAGGGTTTAGGGTTTAGGGTTTAGGGCTATAAGATCAGGTTGAGGATTCAGGGTGTAGGGCTTGCAAGTGCACCTTGTGCACCTGAGGCATCTCAGAGGAGCGCGTGAATCCGGAAAGCCCCCTGGACGACGGGTTTTACTTGAAGGTTCATTTGGGTACTTATTATACCTGTACTTATAAGTATTTTGGGTCTAGGGTTTAGGGTTTAAGGTTTAGGGTTTAGGGTTTAGGGCTACTTGAAGGTTCATGGCTACTTATACGTAGGGAAAAGAAGTAGCCCGAAGAATGTTATAACCATAGTTACCCCCCGCATTTATAGCCCTAGTTAAAGGTACCCCTGAACCTTAGGCTGCACTGTAGGTGTGTCCCAGCACATGCTTAAGCATGCTTAAACTTAGGGTTTAGGGTTTAGGGTGCCCCAACTATATGAAGGACCTGTGGTTGGCGCTATTTGACGCTTAGTTCGCTTTCCCAAGCCGAGGAAATAAGAATGTCGTTCGCGGGCATGCCAGCAAGACAACACACTGAGTAGGAATTGAAGGAGCAATGATTCACGGTTGAAGTTTAGGGTTTAGGGTTTAGGGATAGATATTGACCACCGACATTGAGGACACGACGATCACGATAAGGAAGTGCCATTGGCTTAGCCATGTTCTTAAACCCCGGGCCCCAAACCCTAAACTCTCATCCCTGAACCCAGGTTCCCTGGCAGGGTCCTAGTTCATCATACTTGGGACCCGTTTGGGTTTTGGGGACCCTTTTCAAAGATCCTCTACGGGGAAAAGAAGGGCCAGATGAAGAGTATGTAAACGGAACATCTTAGAGGTACAACCTTAGGTTTGCCAGTCGAACCTCCTTGAGTTCAAGGAAGAGTTTGCAGCTTGCCCTTGCGGGTTGTTGGCACACGTGAGCCCTGAACCCTGAAACCCCGTCCTCTCCAGTATCTGAGGCTCCCTGGTCTCAGACCATCTTACCGTGGCCTACGACTGTGGCCGGGTCGCATACTACAACTCTCCTCCCTATGGGGTCAAGGGTTAACTAAGCCATAATAAGCCCTAAGCCCTGAAACCCTAAGCCCTTTAACCCCCAAACCCTGAAAACCCCGTAAACCCTAAATAAACCCTAGACCTCATAAACCCTGAACCGAAGAAGCCCAGGCCCAACTTGCCCATACCCTAAACCCTATAGGCCGTATAAACCCTTTTAACCCCATAAACCCTATAAACCCTACATGCCCCATACATAAACCCTCAAAACCCCTAGCAAAAAAAAAGCCCTCAAAACCCTAAAGACCCTACAAACCCTAAACCCTAGAAACCCTAGCCTACCCTATAAACCCTCTAGGCCCTATAAACCATACAAACCATAAGCAGGTCCAACTAGTACCCCCTACTATCATCCCTATTAAGGAATGTTAGTATAGGGGGGAACATCCCAACCCTAAAACCTAAACCCTAAACCCTAAACCCTAAACCCTAAACCCTAAACCCTAAACCCTAAACCCTAAACCCTAAACCCTAAACAGGTCCAACCTGCCGCCGCAGCTTCCGGCTGAATCGCGAAGGCATCGCCGCTCACCGCCGCGAATGCCAGGAGTCGGGCCAGGCTCGTGGCGCGGGCCCAAACCCACAAGGAAGGCTAGGGTTTAGGGTTTAGGGGGTTTAGGGGGTTTAGGGGGTTTAGGGGGTTTAGGGGGTTTAGGGGGTTTAGGGGGTTTAGGGGGTTTAGGGGGTTTAGGGGGTTTAGGGGGTTTTAGGGGGTTTAGGGGGTTTAGGGGGTTTAGGGGGTTTAGGGGGTTTAGGGGGTTTAGGGGTTTAGGGGGTTTAGGGGGTTTAGGGGGTTTAGGGGTTTTTAGGGGGGTTTAGGGGGTTTAGGGGGTTTAGGGGGTTTAGGGGGTTTAGGGGGTTTAGGGGGTTTAGGGGGTTTAGGGGGTTTAGGGGGTTTAGGGGGTTAGGGGGTTTAGGGGGTTTAGGGGGTTTAGGGGGTTTAGGGGGTTTAGGGGGTTTAGGGGGTTTAGGGGGTTTAGGGGGTTTAGGGGGTTTATGGGGTTTATGGGGTTTATGGGGTTTAGGGTTTTGGGGTATTCAGGAAGCAGGCGCGGGGCGTGTAAGGGCTCCCTATTCTCCGTTTTCAGAATCCCTTTTTTCATGGCTTGAGTGGCTTAAATGGTTAAGGTTCGGGCAGAGTCGCAGCAGGCCAGATGGGAGTGCACCCATAGGTGTCGTACATCAGGGCACAGAAGGCTTGTTTTTCTACTACTTATTTAGGGCCTATAGAAAACCCCACCCCCCCCTCCCCCCCCCCCACAACCCTGAACCCTAAAAGGGCCCTCGAGCGTCCTAGAGTCCTAGGAAACCTTGTTTTGTAGTCATAGGAAATCTTGTTTGTTTCAGGGTCTTAGAGGCTACCGAAGTTTATCAACCTCCCGCCCCTCTCGCCCACCCCTATAGGGTTTACCTGGGACTCTACTTACCTACAGTTCAGTAGAAACTACCCCTTAATTAGTAGGCATAACCCATTCAACTGTAGGTAAAGAGAGTCCCAAGCAGGGTTGAAGGGCTTAAGGATTGACTTGAAGGTTCATGGGTACTTAGAACCCCAATGATGCCAATGATAAGTCTATTTTCAACCTACTTAGAGGACTTCCTTAGGGGGCTTTGAAGGTATGGTTTATAATTGGGGTTATAAGTACCCTGAACCTCCAAGTAAAACCCTAAACCCCTAACCCCTAACCCCTAAACCCTAAACCCTAAACCCTAAACCCTAAACCCTAAACCCTAAACCCTAAACCCTAAACCCTAAACCCTAAACCCTAAACCCTAAACCCTAAACCGTGCAGCTTCTGGGTCGGCCACTGCACCGCAGGCCCGCAGCGAGCGTGGCTGGCAGTGCGACACATGCGGGGAGAGGCTGCCGGCGGATGCCTCGGAGCCTCGATGGGGTTGGGGGTTTAGGGTTTAGGGTTTAGGGTTTAGGGTTCAGGGTTCAGGGTTCAGGGTTTAGGGTTTAGGTTTAGGGTTTAGGGTTTAGGGTTTAGGGTTTAGGGTTTGGAGGGGAGCATTGTTTTTTTTTTTTTGGGGGGGGGGGGGGGGGGCGAAGGGAAGGGTTCGGCCTAGAAACGCGCTCGCCGTTGTTTTTGCTGTAACGAAACTTAGGTATCCAAAAGAACTACCAGTGGAGGTCAAGGTACCTTGAGACGCTGGACCACACCTCGATCCTGTTGCTAGTCTACAGGCATTTATGAGCATACCCTAAACCCTAAACCATATATGGTCTCCGGCTGCCACTCCCCGCCCCTTTCCTGTGGTGTGGGTGTGGTTGGGGGGTTCGGGTTTAAGGTTTCAAGGTTTAGGGCCTACCCCCGCGCCCCCCTGTGGTGTGGGTGTGGTTGGGGGCTAGGTTAAGATTTAGGGTTTAGGGTTCGGGGTCTTAGGGTCTAAGGTTTAGGCCCCGTGTTGTGACTGGGTTTAGGATTTGGGGTTGAAGGTTTAAGAGACCAGCCGCCGGTGCTACCCCTGCCCTCCCCCCCCCCCCCCCCCCCCCCCCCTCCCCCCTGTGGTGTGGGTGTAGTTGGGGATAGGCGGATAGGGTTTGGGGTTTAAGGTTTAGCCCCCCTGCCTGTGCTGTGAATGGGGGGTTGGCGTTTGGGGTTGAAGGTTTACGGTTTAGGTCAAGGCCGTGAGGTTTAAGGTAGCCCTAAACCCTATAAACCCCATAGCCCGATGAACCCCGTAAACCCTGTAACCCCTAAGCCCGAGAAACTCTAAACCCTAAACCCGAATCCCGAATCTCTAAGCCCTACATCTCAGGCTTTAGACATCCTTCGCCATCGACGAAGTCACGGGCTGTGAATGTGAACTCTGCGCCATTGTATGGGTTTGTAGGGTTTAGGGTTTAGGGTTCAGGGTTTATAGTACCCCTCCCCATATTATTTTCCCTATTGAGGACTGATAGTTTCAGGGCGAACGACCCAATTTATAGGGTTTAGGTTTTTCGGGTTTAGCGTTTGTTTATAGGGGCTTGTAGGGTTTATGGGCGTTCATAGGGCTTATATATAGGGGTTTGTAGGGTTTATAGGGTTTAACGTGCTTCGCCCGCCTGCCGTGGAAAAATCCTTGCGGATGAAGCGTGTCCTGACGCAAATGCTGCTCTAGATGTGCGACGCAAGGGGGGCAGGGAGCATTGGCGATGTGGCTGGCTTCTAGTCGATTCATAAACCCTAAACACTAAACCCTACATCCCAAAATTGACAACCGTAATCACAAGCCCATACAAGCCCTAATAACACCCTGATTGAATTCCTAAAGCAGAAATCCTTAAACGTTGACATGATTGCATTCCATGGGCCCTGTCAGGTATCAGTACACATTCTACCTGGGAGATTCATAGGTACTTCCCCCCACATCGGACCCCCAAAAGGAACTACATTGCAATCTTCAGGCAGCTAATGCAGGTTCTTTCACATGACTGCAGTGCTCGGGATCGGTGTTTCAGATTGCTGGACGGCTCTCTTTGCCCACACAAAGGGCATGACATATAGCCGGTGTAGCAAGTTAACGTAGCTTGACCTACAAGAACCGCTTGCTCCCCCTGTGCGCATATCGAGGGGAGGGACCGGACATTGCAGCGGCTCTGTGTCAGAGATTATGCATCTTCGGACGACAAACTTAGCCATTTGGCTCTGCGGATGCCAAAGTGGAGTAGCTTTGACTAAGTCATGCGCGTGACACGTCCTGCTGCGCTCTGCATGGCAACCATCCTGCCCACGGTCCTTGGGCATTGGGAGGTCCAGGAGTCAGGGGTTCTGGATGCGTCCAACATGCATCTTCTTCCGCCGCAGAACTTATCACTCGAGACCTGGACCTGAAAATCAGCCCGTAAAGCGGCTTACCTTCGAATGCAACATCCCCAAACCCCGAGGCCCCAAACCCTATAAATCTATAAACCTCAACCCCCTTTTCCGACCCTTTCCCGCACTGTTCAGATCCCGAGGAAGCACGATTCCAGTGCAGTCGCGCCCCACTGGGGAAAGAGGAGGAATGCTTCGGCCCCAGGCAAGGGGGCTGCCCGAACGGGACACGGCTCCTCGGTGGCTCTTGGAGAGCGTATATGTATATTTATATACACACACATATATGTGTATATATATATATATATATGTATAAATTATGAAAAAAAACGATATATACATGTATATACATATGTATATATACATACATACATGGACCTGTATTTGTTCCCCTTTTTGCAATTATAGCCGTATGTGATGAACCCCACTTAACCCGGCAGTAATATATGTATACACATCTAAACACATGTAGTTCTTTTGTTGTTATACTACATGTGTCTGTTTTAGCTTGGGTGGTTAGCCTTACAAAACCCTGTAACTTCAAGAGCCGCCTGGCGAAATTGCCGCGTCATGTGAAAACGAGCCCAGGTGCTTAATCAAGAACAACCATCGCACGAAGAAGGTCTACGCGACCTGTTGCTGCAGCCGGGCTCACACTCCCATCGACATGGTCTCTCTATCCCCCTTGGGAATTATTTTCTTATTTCTGTTTATATAAAACCAAGTAGGATATTAAACATAATGTGTTTGTTGAGGTTCTTATTTCTGTTTATATAAAACCCAGTAGGATATTAAACATAATATGTTTTTTAAGGTTCGAAGGGGAGTGCAGGTCTACAGAGAGCACTGGTCATGTTTTGCAAGCGAAGTGGCTTCCGAGCAATCGCATGGTGAACGCCCATACTGCGACGTTCTTTGCTGCAACAGGCAAGATCAGCGGTTTAGGGTTTAGGGTTTAGGGTTTAGGGTTTAGGGTTTAGGGTTTAGGGTTTAGGGTTTAGGGTTTAGGGTTTAGGGCTGAACCCGAAACATGTCCGAGACAGCGCCGAGTAAATACGGCGCAAGGTCCTGTCCAAACCCTGCGCTTGAACTCTTTTCTCCCTGCACTCCCGTCGCCCCATGGTCGCGATAAGTAGCCAAAGGGTTAAGGGACAGAGTACCCTTGTAAACCCGAAACCCTAAACTGCTACCAGTAAAACCCTAATTAAAGTGTGTGACCGTTGTGAAATGCAGCCACTCGCTTGTGAGCGCGGGAGTTGCAACTCTGTGAGGGCTTAGGCTGGGTGTCAGGGTACCCTGCTTCATAACCCTGAACTTCTTTATGCTTTATGTCTTACAGCCCTAAACAAGCCCACGTCTTCCAGAACCTCCCCGTGGTTGGGGCAAGCTTCCGACATCAGTTTACAGGGCACAAGGGTCGCTGGGTCAAGCCCCGGAACCTCGAACCCCAAGCCCCTTCGTAGCCCAGTGGTACCCTCTTCCCCCCTTTTTTTTGGGGTTCAAGGTTCCCTTATAATTTAACCAGCCCGAAAAAAGGTGCCCTTATTATAACGTGGTTGTTGGGCTACCAAGGCTCGACAAGTCATTGTTGCCCTGCTTATAGCTACTATGTGCTCAAGAACTACCCAAAAACAGGAGCAGGGGCAATATCGGGATAAGTTTTCTTTAATTCCAAAAATTTCCAAATTATGTATACATGATATATATATATACATATATATATATTTTTTGTTGTTTTGTTTTTTGTTTTTTTGGTTTTGTTGTTGTTTTTTGAGGGGGTGGGGGGAGGGGGGGTGGGGGGGGGGGGGGGGGGGGGTGTGGGGCCATGAACCTAGTAAACAGCCTTGTTGGCAGACCGCAAGTGTCCCGGGCATGCCACGGCAACGGTCCAATCTGCTGCGACGAAGAGGTGGATTTGGGGCGAAGGGTTGAGACCTTGAACCCTAAACCCTAAACCCTAACCCTAAACCCTAAACCCTAAACCTTAAACCCTAAACCCTAAACCCTAACCCCCCCCCACCCCGAAAAAAAAACCCTAAACCCTATTGGGGTTTAGGGTCTTGGTGCCCAGTGTTTCGAACCTTTTTGTTGGTTCAACGTTTCCTGATAAAGTCGCCAACCCCAAAAAGGGTGCCGTTCTAGTAAGGCGCTTAATGGGCTACCAAGAGGGTGAAGGGTTAAGACCACAAACCCTATTTGGGTTTAGGGTTTCTTGGGTGGCCAAAAGGGCAAAGAAGCCCTGAGCCCTAAACCTTGCAGTTCAGGTGTAAACAAAACGGGATCCGGTGTCTGCTCGCTTTGTGTCCCTGCTCATCTAGTGGCCCTGATTGTAGAAGTCCCAGAAACCACGCACCTCATGGACTTGGTGGTGTCTATGTCTGTGCCAAATTTATTCTTGACTCACACGAGCACCTCTACTGTCCGAAAATGGCCCTAGACCCTAAAACTCCTCCGAATGGCCCTAGCCCCTAAACCGCATGCTTTTCAAGGTGAGCACTTGTGGCATCAGCCTACATGGCAAAGCGTGCTGTGCTTCGAAGGATCTGTCCGCCCAGGGCTGAGGTTCGAACTGTTTGAGTGACAGGTTGGGTGAGGGTCTAGGGTTTAGGGTTTAGGGTTTAGGGTTTAGGGTTCAGGGTTTAGGGTTTAGGGTTTAGGGTTTAGGGTTTAGGGGCCCTGTTGCGCATTGAGTGGAGCTCGTGTGGGCAAGGCCCCAACTGATTTCCTACAGAGTCTGAGTCCCAAAAAAGGTTTAGGGTTTAGGGTTTTTAGGTAAACCCTAAACCCTAAACCCTAAAACCCTAAACCCTAAACCTCTCCCGCTCCGTGTGCCCTCCGCGTCCCCCCGTGGCCGCTGAAGGCCCAGAAAGATTGCTGCACGAGTAAGGGGAGCACGTGCTGGTTCCGAAGCTCCTGGCTGACTGATTCCCTACTTGAAGTTTAGGGTTTTATCGTTTAGGGCTTACGGTTTAGGGTTTAGGGTTTGACTTGAAGGTTCATACTTGGAGGGTCATGGGCACTTCTAACCCCAATTTTTGGGGCTTATAAGTGCAGTAGTGATTGGGGTTATAAGTACCCTGAACCTCCAAGTAGGTACCGATAAGTAGGGTTCTAAGTACCCTAAACAAGGTAATAACCATAGTTCCCCCCCCCCAAGTTTATAACCTTAGTTCTACGTACCCATGAACCTCGAAGTAGATGCAATGGAACCTTTCCAGCTTGGCACTTGTTTCAAGCACAAGGGTTTAGGGATCCTGGTTGCAAAAACGGGTTCTAGGTAAACAGGGTTGCAGGGCTTGGGGTTTAAGGATTTATGAGGGTGTAACACCAGGGTGTAGGGTGTGCTCAGACGCAAAAGGCTTTGAGAGGCTTCGGGTTTAAGATTCAGACTTTGCGGGGAAAAAAGGTAAGGGCAGGGTTTAAGGGTTTAGGGTTTTCGGTTTTAGGGCTTCAGGTTGGGTGTTAAGGGTTGTCGGGCGCTGAGAAAATCAAGGATGCTTTCGTCTTGACCGGACAGCCGTGCTGCCACCAGGATGACGGGAAACTGGGCTGCTGTCAAAGTAAGTTGCCATAACAAGGACAGGAAGCCATACTATGTGTCACGCATTTCGATCGTGGGGACTTACTTGCTTTTTAGTCCCTGAACCCTACCCTAAACCCTAAAGCCTAAACCCTTCACCCCAAACCCTACTAAACCCTAAACCCTAAACCCAGGAAGGGCCCCATGACCAAGCTGTGCTTCGAAGAGACCCGATGCACTGCCGGGCTGCCATCGCCAGCTTTCTGGATCAACTTGGCAGCTTGGCATAAACAAGCCCTACACCCGGAACCGCAAAATGCGCATGTTGTGTTCCATGGTTGCCCATACCCTATACCCTAAGCCTAGCGAGAGAGGCCGAGAGAGAGAGAGAGAGAGGAAGAAGCAGAAGAAGGAAAAGAAAAACAAGAGAGAGAGAGAGAGGAAGAAGCAGAAGAAGGAAAAGAAAAACAAGAGAGAGAGAGAGAGGCAGAGAGAGAGGGAGAGAGAGCGAGATTGGGAGAGAAGCCGATGAACGATGGAGGTGATTTACTTGCTACCCTAAACCCAGAATCACTAGGACCCAGAGTAGGCCCTCACTCCCCTTTCTTAGGGTGTAAAGTTCCCTTGTATATAAAACCCCTTGAAACAAACAAGGGCACCCTTTTTTCTGCCCAGGTTACTTTATGTTACCCTTTGGGTCTAGATAAAGATCTTGCCAGGTTTGTGGTGTGGTCGCGGCCGTTGTGCAAGTGCTGTGGTGTCGGTCCGGCTTACACTGGTGCACCAACTTGGAGAAGCTGCGCCAAGCTCTTCGCTTCGTGGTGCCATTGGCTCTCTTGCGCTTGGATTTCAGTGGGCACACTTTTTTTCGTGGTGCGGGTGCGTTTTCTTCCAATTTGGTACTTGAATCATTCGACATGTGTCTGCAAGCCTTTTGGCCCCAAGCGCAAGGCCTTGGGTCCTACAATGCTGCTACTTAGGTATCTTCTCGCACTGGCTACTGCAATGCTGGATTTGCAAGACACAAGGTGGGGCATTCACCAAACCCTACCGATAGTTACCCCTGCACTCTTAGAAAGGGGAGTTTGCCCTAGCTATTGGCGTATATGCCTTTTGCAAAGGTATGGCAACGTCAAGATGGGGGTTCCTAGACTAGTGGCTAGCCCCGTGCCCCTTCAAGGAATTTTCCTTGCTCACCCTTCCCAATACAAGCCCTGCACGCAGACCCTGACAAGCCATCATGGCGCAAGGTTTAGTACAATTGAGGGCTTATAAGGTTTAGGGTTTACGGCTCATCTGTAATTTTCCAGCAGACCTTGCAGGCCCAAATGCTCTTTGCTTCAGCACCAGCACGTTTGCATGCATGGGTGAGGGAAGGGCAACCCCCCCTCCCCACTGTAAGAAAAGCCAAACGCCAAGCCTCTTTTTTGAACACTACCCCGCCCCGAGCTCTCAAAACCCAAGGCTAAAAAGCCAGCACAAGCCTTGGGTTTTGAGAGATCGGGGCGAGCAAACGACCTAAACCTTAAATCCTAAACCATAAGTCAACATTGCTCTCCTGCTGCTGTGTGCACGTGACGCGCGCTGTCTTACGAGCCCATGTCAGTCGCTTCTGAGTTCACTGAGTCCCTAAACCCTAAACCCTTAACCCTAAACCCTAAGGCCTAAGCCCTAAGCCCTAAACCCTAAACCCTGAACCCTAAACCCTAAACCCTAAACCCTAAACCCTAAACCCTAAACCCTAAACCCTAACCCAAGCTTCAGATTGAGAGGCTGCCGTTTGCGGAGCTCTTCCTCCTCTCAGCTGCCTCAATGCTGTACACGTTTCTCTGCTCCCTGCCTCTGACATGCCCGGAGCTGAGTCTGGTCACGGAAGTCCTTCCCAAAAGAGGTTTAGGGTTTAGGGTTTAGGTTTACAAGGGCCTTCCCTGAAGATTCCAATGTACTTTTGGGGTCCGGCATTTTGCTTCTAATGGTTCTATCCTTGTAAGGATGCTAGTAAGCTACCAAAAAGGAACTACATGAGAGTCCGCAGGTTTAATTAGCTATGGAATGCAATCATGGTTGTAAGCCGGCGGTTCAATCGAGACCAACACTTCTCGATTTAAACCCTAAACCCTAAACCCTAAACCCTAAACCCTAAACCCTAAACCCGATTCTGCGGCCAAGGTTTGATGCGGTTTGCGCGGCGGTGCAGGCTCCGTAGGGCGGGTCGTACGCGGCCGAGAGATTCGAGCGCGCCCGCCAACATCGCGGTCCTGATCAACATTCAGGACGACCTGAGACTATGTACACCCTAAACCCGAAACCCTCAACCCTAAACCCTAAACCCTAAACCTGCTTTTTTGTAGTACCTACCCCTTGATTAGTAGTTCTAACCCATTGATGAGTAGGTATAGCCCATTGAACTGTAGGCGAAGAGAGTCTCACTGAGGTTTGATGTCGTTTGGTGATATTTTGTCAGTGAGTAGTTAGTGGCGCAGCGATGTCTTTTGACAGTTAATATCTTGTCAGTGCGTAGTTGTACAACCAAAGTTTTTCAGTATAGATAACGAGATAACGTTTTGTGTTTGACGTGTAGAGCTGCACACGCGTTTACAACTACATACGATGCCTAGACCCCAGATGCGCGTCCGTTTTTGAGGTTGTACTTGCCATGCAATTGGTGTTCAAAGTTGCCCCAAGGCTTTCAATTCAAGGAGTCACTTCCACAACGAGCTCATGCTAGTTCTAGTGAGTTCTGCGAACACTGGTTCCAAGAAGCCTTTCGAAACTTCATTGGATATCGAGCTGCCTCTGAATTACCGAGTGTGTAGAGATTGTCCGCTTATTGCATCTTGGCGTAGATATACGGTTGTAGAGCCTTGCAGCTTATGGTTCTTCTCGAAAAGGTTTGGGTATCCCTTTTTGGGGTTTAGGGTTGCAGGGCTTGCAGGAGTACGAGCACCTGGATGACGTGTTGGATCGAAGTTGGCCAGCGCTGTGTGCAGAAATGCGCCGACGCGACCAGGTTTCGGTGGGGCAACATTTTCGCCAGACACGATGAGGGTGACCTAAAGGGGTGTTAGTAGTATCCTCGCCCCTTAGGCCCAAAATCAGTCAGTTTGTGTATGTGTGTGTGTCCCAAGGCTCCCAGGAAGCAGAATTCCAGTGGGAGGCCGGCCATGCCAGATTGGGCTGATGTTCCAAGATGTCGTGGGGATGCCATTTGTCCCTCAACCCCTAAACCCTAAACGCTAAACGCTAAACCCCAAACCGGCCGCTTTGTGGAAGGTGCTGGTCTGGCCCGAGCTCAAGGGGCGGAACGTGAGGTCTTTGGTGGACCTCGTGACTTAGGGGTACTTGGAAGTAACTTTTAACTCTAGTGTTTAGGGAGTTTAGGGTTTAGGGTTTAGGGGTACTTGGGAGTAACTTTTAACTCTATCCCCCTTGGGAGTTATTTGTTTTTTTTAATTTTGTTGAGGATCTTAAGTTTTTTGTAAATTAAGGTTCTAAGGGGAGTATAGTTAACTCTTGGGTACTACAAATCCTAAGAAACAGCCAAAGTTACAATTTTTGCTGGGAAGTTCAAGTTCAGTATAGGTGAGGCGGAAGTTGGAGGGCACATCAAACGCGAGAGTATTGAGACTCATCTTCAGTCTTGTATAGCTGTTTGTATCTAGGGCCAACTTAGGGTTTTGGGTTTATAGTTTAAGGCTTAGGGTTTAGGGTTTGGGTGCTTTAACTGTTCATGCGTTGCTGTCTGTTGCTCTTTTCCCTGAGTGTTGGAGACTCAGGATCTACATCTCGTGCCATTCGCAGATGATGAACGGCGTGCCGCAATTTCTACCCGCGGATGCGGCAGGGTGGGGTGATGGTGTTTGCTTGTCCTGGTTGGTGCGGCAGCTCGATGCGGTCCAGCCCCGACATGCGCACTTCTACATCATGGTGTGTAGGCTCGATTTGGGAAAGCTTTTCAAGCTCTATGGACCCTAGGCTTATATATGAAGTGTCCGCAGACACCCTGTGCTGAGGTGGCTCCCCCAAAACCATCTCAGGTCAACGGCTGCCTCACGAATGCCAGCCGGGTCGACCGATGCTGCTGGGCAGCGCAGCAAGCCATGGACGACGAGGTAGGGTCTTATCCCGCAGCCCCTGCACCCTACTGTAAGGTTCATGGGTACGTATGACCCCAATTATAAGTCTACTTATAGCCTACATAGAGGACTTAGGGGGGCTAGAATTGGGGTTATAAGTACCCTGAACCTCCAAGTAGACACCCTTTTCTTGAGGGACTGGTGGAATTGCTTGCTGCTTGTCATGCACTTCTTGTGCCCCCCCTTTTCTCTCACCTCGCTTGCCCTACAGTGTTCATCCCGACCTAGACAGGCGTATCATACAAGGTTTACTTGGAGGTTCATGGGTACTTATAACCCCGATTGTAAGTCTACTTGGATCCTACTTAGAGGACTTGTGGGACTTAGGGCCGATAAGTACAGTCATAGTTGGGGTTATAAGTACCCTGAACCTCCAAGTCGCATTGTGGCAGCACCAGGTGGATGCGGCGATGCTTTCTGAGAGGATACTCCGCCGTCGAAGTGACCCCCAAGTGTGGATGCTCTTTGCTTGCCCCCCAGGCGGGCAGATCCCGGGTGACGAGGATACCGGCGCCTTGCTTGCCACCGGTTTAGGGTTTAGGGTTTAGGGTTTAGGGTTTAGGGTTTAGGGTTTAGGGTTTTGTGTATTGGTGCCTCCAAAAACAGCCTTGTGTAAGCCCCAAGAGAAGTAAACACCTAAACCTCTGCCCCCAAATCCATGTGTGCTCGAGCCGAGGGGATCATTTGACCCGGCTGTTCCTGGAAGCCTTGCGGAGGAGGCCTCCTCCTGCCCAGCTCGAGATAGAGGACACTTTGCGGAGCATTCTAAGCTTCAAACATGTGAACCCTACGTCCCAAACCTAGGTTTAGGGTTTAGAGAGCATCACCCGGATTGGAGCTTCAATATGGAGCTTCAGAACAAGACCCTGAACTTATCCCAGTCGCTGCGCTGTGTTGCCGTCAGAACGTGAAGGGTGCGAGAAACTCTGGTCCAGCGAGCCGAATCCCCTTTCAGCCTTTCAATCACGAAGAGGCTCGGAACCATGTGGGTAGTTCTCTAAATTACGTGTCCCTTTCTTGGGACGGTCCCCTGTAAAGAACCAAAAAAACAAACCCCAATTTCGAGAACAGCCATATGGCCGAGTCTCATAATCATGATCCATGCCTGGGTGCCCTCAATATACGGGGTTTAGAGTCTCGGGTTTAGGGTTCTATATCCCCCTTGGAAATTATTTTTTATTTTTTTTTATTTAAAACCCAAGAGGATATTAAAAAGTATGTTTTTTTTTAAGGTTCTAAGGGGAGTATAGGTTTAATTAGGGTTAAGGCTGTACTCTTGTGTAGTGAACGGCCACGTCGGGGCAAGTCAGGGTACATCTTCCCCTTCTCTTGGGGGCCTTCGGGGTTCCTAGGGTTCAGAGTTTAGGGTGTCTAGGGTTTAGGAATTAGGCTTTAGGGCCTGGGTTAGGGTTTGGGGGGGAGACCCCCAAAACAGAGCGTGCCATGGGAAAACCCTGGATTCTCAGCCGCGGAATGCCCAGGAGATTTACAATGAACTCCACGAAGGCTTGTGGAAACTGAAGCGGGACCAGGCAGGGTTTAGGGTTTAGGGTTTAGGGTTTAGGGTTTAGGGTTTAGGGTTTAGGGGCGGGTCTTTGGGTTCCGGAAATCAGCCCAATACTCCTTAGTGGGGGTTGAGGATTTCGGGTTTTTGGGAGAGGGATGGGTATCAAAGCACCGACTGAGGAATCAACACATGTAAGGAAGGAAGGAAGGAGAAGGGAGGAGGTAGGGAAGGGAGGGAGGAATGATAAATATGGGGTGATACGGAAGACCGCAGAAGGACACGTATTCGTAGAGAAAAGCCCAATTTCAGAACCCTGACTCTGCAGGGCGGACCTCTTCAACCCTACCTGATGGTGACAACTGGCAAGCTTCCCACGCCGATCCCGCGCCAAGCGTCGGACGAAAGTCAGCAGAAGCTTGCAATGCGAAGCCTTCGGGGCTAGTGGCCCCTACTTGGAGGTTCATTTGAGTACTTACACGGGGTTTCTAAGTGCCCTGGTCAAAGGTCGCAGCCGGTCATACCTACAGCTACCCTTCTTGCAACCCCAGACATAACCACTAACTACCATTCACAGTTTTATTGTTCGCCCGATGGCCTAAAGGTTCCTGTCGTGTCCGGAGGTTTGAGAGACGGCTTTGAAGGTGTTGTGTTTTTTACTCTGGCGGCTAAGGAGAAGGAGATCGTAGCGAGTCAGGCTTGTCAGCCCCCCCCCCCCACCCCCTTCCCAAAGAAGAAAAACACGAACAGCGCAACCTCAACCCTACAGCCCGACCTTTTTAGAGGTTGAGGGCTTTGCTGTAGGGCTTGGGCCTCCTGCTTCTCCCCCCTGAGGACCCTCTAACCGCAGCTTTCAAATTAAGACGCTACTAGACCCTAAGCCCGAAACCCTGAACCAGAATCCCGAAACCCGAAACCCTAAACCCTAAGCCGTGTAAACCCTAATACCTAAACCCAAACTGCAGAACTTCCAATTCAGGACCTGTGCAAGTGCCCTCACTCAGAGCACCGAAGCTTCAAGCAGCTGCCCATAGAGACACTTTCTGCAGGCCGCTTGCCAGCCACTGGGGTCCAGGGGCTTCCAGAAGAAGGGTTTAGGGTTTAGGGTTTAGGGTTTAGGGTTGGAGCTTGTCGGGTTCTGGCGTGATCAAGCCCCCTTGCAGTAACCTCAGAGCTCCTACACATCCCCAAGGCCTATAACACTGAAACCTCTAGGCCCTCAAATCTAAGCACCTCAATCCTAAACCCCAAACCCGCAAGCCCTCGACCCGAACTAACCCCTGTCGAGGTGAGGCATTCGGGTTCGGGCTTTGAACTATGTCGGCAGGAATCTTTGTGAGAGTTGATGGGTTTCAGCCCCATACAGCAATTCTGGCTTCAATAGGGGATCATGGGGGCCCATGGCGGGATCGTCCCATCCTCAGGTTCAAACGAAAGGAAAGGGGAAGGATCCTGGGCCCCCCAAAAATCAGGCCTGACTCTGATGGGGAGAGGGTTTAGGGTTTAGGGTTTAGGGTTTAGGGTTTAGGGTTTAGGGTTTAGGGTTTAGGGTTTAGGGTTTAGGGTTTAGGGTTTAGGGTTTAGGGTTTAGGGTTTAGGGTTTAGGGTTTAGGGTTTAGGGTTTAGGGTTTAGGGAGTCCAGGGGTCTGCCTCAGAATTTAGACTCAGGGCTTCGTAGGAATCATCCGGCGCCTTCCATCTCTGCTTGAGGTGCCCTTCTGCCGGAGTCACCTGAACACGCGAGCCGTCGCCCGCGTAATTCGCCTCTAGTCAACCTGATGAGGCGCCAACATTGCCCCAAAACAGATTCGATGGCATGGTGTGCTGGCATGGTTTAGGGTTTAGGGTTTAGGGTTTAGGGTTTAGGGTTTAGGGTTTAGGGTTTAGGTTTAGGGTAATTTAGGGTTTAGGGTACCGTCCCAAGCACTAAACCCAAAAAGCCTTGCTTATAGAGCCTCAGGGAACCGTCCTTGGAGGAAATTTCCGTGGGACCTCTGCGAGAGCTCCCATGCATCCAGGGCCGTGGTTCTTGTCAAAGCTACAGAGACATGAGTTTTGTGAATGACCCTAAACCCTAAACCCCAAACCCTAAACCCTAATTAAACCCCAAACCCTAACCCCACCAGTTCATCTTAGTCTCTAGAGGTCCTATCATACCGAGCCCGTGGATGCAAGGCGGACTCTGTAGACAAGCTCCTGACCCGCGTCAGAAGCGAGAGTTCCAGGCGTAGCCATTTGCAAGCTCGGGCCGTTCTGTACAAAGCGGAACGAACTTGAACTGATTGGGTGGTGCCGCTTAACCATGCGGGGGTTTACGATCTTAAGGGGCCCCTTCCTCAAATGCTAGGTTCCCCGTATATTATAGGACCTCCATTAGGTACCACTAGCTTCGAACCCCTTCCATATCTTGGCATGTTTTCTGTTGATCTAGGATTTGTGGGCCTGGGCCGCCGCACCCACCACGTCATGTTCTTTAAAGCCCATGTTGCCGAGACGTTTAGGAGAACTTTGGCACGGCTGTGGTACGGCCTAAGAATGCCAGAGCTCCTGAGGAAGCTGCATCCCAATGCCTTAATAAAACGGGTTGTGCCGGCTGCCTGCACAAGTCAAGTGAGGGCTTGGAATTGCAACAGCCTGGCGTGTTTCTTCATTCCTAAGACAGTAAGAATTTTGCAGTAGTCGTAATAGGAATAGTCACAAGAGCAAGTAGTATGTAATAATAAACGCAATGACTTACAATGATAGTAATAGTAATAGTTATTGTCATAGTAATAGTAATAGTACTCGTACTAGTACTAGTATTAGTTTCTTGTCGTCGTCGTAGTAGTAGTAGTAGTGGTGAGGTTGGAGCCGGCACTTGGGGTCCTGGCCTTTGGGCAGCCTCGCGGCTCCTAATTGATGATTTTAGGGAAGTTTATGGTTCAGGGTTTAGGGTTTAGGGTTTAGGGTTAAGGTTTCGGGGCTGAGACGGTTTCTTGATTACACACATTGTTGGGGTTTAGGGTTTTTGTTTTGGGTTTAGGGTTTTTGAGTTTCGGCTTGGTAGGGTTTGTTTAGGGCTTCAAGCCCTTGAGGGTTTAGGGTTTAGGGTTTAGGGTCTTTAGTACCACAGCCCATAAGCCGCAGCAAGAGAGGAGAGCTGCTCATTGCCGGAGCGGGCGCTGGCATCGCGACTCGTTGGCACGGGGTTCATGCCATGTCGGCTTGCAAGGGGATTAGGGTTTAGGGTTTAGGGTTCAGGGTTTAGGGTTTAGGGTATTCGGGGTTCCAAGGGTGCAGGCAGAATGCGAAGGGGTTTAGACGGTGACTTTAAAACGCCTTCATCAGCCTCAAACCACCTCCAGAGCCTCCCGCCTCTACACCCAAAAAGACCCAAGCCCCAAGCCATAAGCCCTAAGCCCGAAGCCAGACCCTCATCCCGAAACCCTAAAACCAGTCTCAATGCGCGAGTGCAAGAGCCAAAGCGCCCAATCTCAACCCTAAAGCCCCCACTTCCAGGCTTAGATAAAGGGATTAATTCGGGTTTAGGGTCTGAGTCTGGGTTTTCAAAGAAGGATGAAGGGATTCGGGCCGCAAAAAGGGTGCTCGCAAAAACGCACCCGCCCTAAAAGCACATTTAGTTGGGTGAACTCGCCCCAACCCCTGAACCCCTAAACCCCCAAACCCTGAACCCTAAACCTTTAACCTCTTGAACCGGGGAAATCCGAGGTCAGCAAGACGATCACAGCACCGATGGACCGAATACGGCGCCTCCCCACGAAATATGGTGAACTGGGTGCTCAAGTACCCTAAACCCTAAACCCTAAACCCTAAACCCTAAACCCCAGGACTTATTAGGGTTTAGGGTTGAGCAAAGTGGGTTGAGTCTTGGGTCCCCGCCAGATATCGCATAGAGCCCGGATGCAAAAAGGGTTTAGGGCTACTTGAAGGTTCATGGGCAGTGAAATAGTCAGCACCCTAAATTAGGTTCTAACCATTGTTACCTTACATATAACCCCACGTATCAGTTCCAGTGAACCTCCAAGTACCCGAAACCCCAAACCCCTTAAGCCTATTAGTAGGGAACCATATATAAGCCCTTAAAGGGTATTAGTAGGGAACCATACATAAGCCCTTAAAGGGTATTGGTAGGGAACCATATATAAGCCCTTAAAGGGTATTAGTAGGGAACCCGAAATAAGCCCTTAAAGGGTATATATAGGGCCTTCATCCCCTACTAAGAACCAGAAGAGGTTTGGGGCTGAGGACTGAAGACCGCCCTTCAGCCTCAATTTTGGGCCTTAGGGTTTAGGGTTTAGGGTTTAGGGTTCAGGGCGTTCGAGCTTCCGCGCAGGACTTTGCCCCAAAGCCTCGGAGCTGGGGATGTCCCGGGTTGGTTGACTACTTATAAGTGCCCATGGCGCCTCCGAGTATGAGTCCCAGACGTGCTTGATTCAAACTGGGTCATGGGCTTCGGGCCCTCGATTCGAAGCCCAAGGTCAGGGTTTTGGGCTTTGGACTTCGGGCTTTGGGTTGTAGTACACCCTGTCCCCTCCTCTACCACGTAAGACGAGAAGTGCATGGGCTGCTGAGGATCCTTTTCCAGGTCCACCGGAAGCGGGTCTTCAGTTTACGCGGTGATCGCGGCAGCATCAGAGGGTTGTCAGGGTCCTTTAAACCCGAAACCCTAAACCCTGAGCCCTCCCCCCGGCCTCCTCCACAAAGGCCTAGAGATGCCGAAAGGCCTAGAGATGCCGAAGATATTCAGGGCTTAGGGTTCAGTATGTGAATGCCGGGGGCGAACTGGCAAGTCTGTTGCAAAACGGGGTTTGGGAAAGCACAACCTACAATAAACAGACTGGTTTTGGGGTTCTAGGAGTATTCTGCTTCCGGTCCGCCATTCAAGACGTCCTTTGTGAAGAGAACGTGGTCTTCCCTAAGGCCTAAGCCCTAAACCCTAACACCTAATGATTCGAAGTAGTAATCTTCCCTAAGCCCTATGGACCCTAAACCCTAATGATTCGAAGTAGTAATCGTCGGCGTCGTCCTCGCCACCCGTCCTCCTCCAAAGCGCAAGTAACCTAACCATTAGGCCTCTGAAAGGTTACTTGGAGGTTCATTTTAGGGTTTAGGGTTTAGGGTTAGGGTCATTATAAGTAATGCCATACTGTTGATGGTCGAAAGTTTTTGCTGGTCACCCAGTGCTCTCGCTACAACGCTTCGAAAGGGCATGTGCACGAATGACCGAAATCCTGCATCACCCCGCGTGCGCACGCAACATTGAAATTCGAGGGGTGCGGGGAGCGATTGCCAACCGTCGCACACTTGTCACGCAAAGGCGTCATGCAAGCATTTGTCCATCCACCGCAAGCATGGTCGCTATGGTTCTCAGCTTATGTAGGGTACCGAAAGGTCCTTACTTCGAAGTACCCAAAAAACCTTTAAACCCTAAACCCTCAACCCTAAACCCTAAACCCTAAACCCTAAACCCTAAACCGGGCCACCTTCTGAGGCTTCTTCCACCGCGGCGTGGACATCGTGCGACTCGAGGGACCCTGGGGCCTCTGGCGAGGCAACCTTGCCGTGGTGCTCCAGGCCCTGGTTTCAGGGCTTATTGGGTTTAGGGTTTGGGGTTTAGGGTTCAAGGTTTATGGTTCAGGGTTTAGGGTTCAGGGTTTAGGGTTTATAGGGTTCAGGGTTTAGGGTTCAGGTGCTCCACCTTCCGGGCACGTGAGAGAGTGCTGGTTCAAAAAAAGGTGATGGTTTCAGGGCTCACTTGTGCTTGTTGGGGCTCTGGGTTTTTTAGGGTTGAATAGGGTTGCACATTAGGGCTTAGGGTTGCTGATACCATGCGCTTGAGAGAGCCCTGGGCTTTGTTTTCCGGGGCTCGTGGGCGCTTGCTTAGGGGCTCGCGGGGATTTCAGACATGGCACTTCTTCATTTAGAGCTTGCTGCAGCTGAGAGTCCACTTCTGCTGCAAAGGCCTCATCCAAACAGCACTAGCTGGCGGGAGTGTCCTTTTCCCCCAAATCCCAGAAGCCTGAACCCACAAACCCTTGCCCCTACACCCTAAACCCTAAACCCTAAACCCTAAACCCTAAACCCTAAACCCTAAACCCTAAACCCTAAACCCTAAACCCTAAACCCTAAACCCTAAACCCTAAACCCTAAACCCTAAACCCTAAACCCTAAACCCTAAACCCCAACCCCTACAATCCCTGAACCTCCAGAGAGGTCATGCCCTATGCCGGCGTTCAGTTCATGGCCTTCGACCAGCAACTCGGCTGAGTACTCCGGGCGTACTTCGGGTTTAGGGTTTAGGGGCCCTCAGTCCTGGCATGAAGCAGCTCCAGGTTCAAAAAAAGGGTTTAGGGTGTAGGGTTTGGGATTTAGGGCTTTCGGTTTGTCGCGCAAATGGCCCGATACTTGGGGCCGCTGGGCAGGGCGGCGCACGTTCTTCCGGAGTAGGTTGTGGGTTTCAGTTGCAGGTGCCGGGTGGTCGCTAAGTCGCCCTAAACCCCAAACCCTGAGCCCCCTGCATCGTCCGGCTCGGCACCAGAGGGCGCGGTGTAGGTGTTTGGCTTAAACCCTAAACCCTAAACTCAGACCGTGACTCAGGGTTTAAGAAGCGGCTCGGGGCCTCCGAGGAACCAAGAACCTGTCCATGACATGACCCTGAACGGCCTAAACGCCTCCTAAACCTCCTGAGCATCCTAGAACCAAGCCTTAGAGGTTGAGGGCTTGCGGTTTAGGGTTTAGGGTTTAGGGCTATCCTTCCAGGGACCTAATTATGGGTCCTTAGGAGCTCCAGTAACCTAATGATTAGGTCAATGATCAGGTCCCTGGAAGGATAGGGAATGCTCGGAGCTTCATTCACAACAGAACAGCTGCAGCTTGTCGCCGATTCGTCTGGCACCTTCCTCCACACCAAATCTTGCAAGCTGGAAGTCCTGTATTTTCTTCGAGGGCCGGATGCTTGATCGGGGGGTACTCAGGGTAGTTCAGAGGGTTCCAGGAAGACCCCTGCTTTAAACTTGAAGAGTCGCTGTGTCCTTGGGCTGCAGCATCCGGAGATGCCATGGCGACCGTCTGAGAGGCGTTTTGGGAGAGCGGGAGTGAGGGGGCGGGAGAGGAAGGGAGCTTGTTGGCTTGATTGTTGAAAGGGCTCGATGACTTTTTTGTGGAGGAGGGCTGCCGGACAATGTGTCGGAGTGGCTAGTTTCCATTCTGGGGGGGGGGGGGGGTTTCCGAAACGGGGGGTACCCTTTTTTGGGGAGGTCTCGTGGAAGAAGGAATGTACACAATATTTGGGTGTACATGGCATATGGGGTCCCCCATATTTTTGGAATTACCCATATATAAAGCGTGCCTCCGCAGCATTTGTGCGATCTGCTAGCCTTCGCTCCTCCGCCGTCCTTCTCGCACCGCTCACTACCAGCTGCTTGGAGCGAGCTGTGATGAACGGGTCAGTTAAGTCTTGAGGTGAATACCTTCTATAATTCCAAACTGCTGGTTTATGTGTATGTACATGTATTCAACTTATATACATACGTAGTGAGAGAGCAAAACAAGCACGTAGATATGTGACATATTTGTGTATATATATATATATATACGCACATATATAGTTATATATGCATATTTTCCTTGTTGAAATTAGATGGTCAGCCGGACTTGGGGCCCTGGCCTGGGCAGTCTACGGGCCGTTTGGAGTTATGTTTGTCTGCTTATCTCAAGGGGGCTATCAGCCACGAATGTTGCAGCATGGATCTAAGGGAGCATTGTCCGTATAGTCCAGTGTTTTGGCGCAAGCCGACGGGAGGGAACATGAATTGGGCACTGACCGTATCTTGGCGTTGTAGGACACATCCTGGGAATGAACCTCCCTGCTGTTCTCGCGATGGTTCGAGAACCATGTAGCCTGTAACCCCATGTATAGCCCGATAACCCGAATATTATTTTGCTTTGAACATCCCCACACTCTCTGGGTAGAGATACTCTGGGGGTGGGCACTCCAGGGACACTCTGGGGTTGGGTACTCCAGGGACACGCTGGAATTGGGCACTTCAGGGACACTCTGGGGTTGGGCACTCCAGGCATAGGAGAAGAGTTCCGGGCGAGGAGAAGGGTAAGTTGAGTTCAAAACCTCACAACCCACAGCGAGGGTGGGGAACAACAACCTCATAAACCCTAAAGCCTACAACCTAATCAACCCTGAATGCACCTTAAACCCAAGACACCCTGAGGGACCATGGCCCGTGTTGCATTCCTGTTCGTGCTGCCTGTGCACCGTGGCTGCACAGGGCTTGGGTGTTTCCGGGTTCAGGGTTAGGAGTTTCGGGGTCGCTAGCCCAAACCCAGATTTGCACTAAACCTGGCCAAGCAACCCCGTGCCCTCAAGAAGGCTGAACCCTTGGTAAATCAAATGAACCCTAAAACTGGGGTCATATACCCATAGACTACCATAATTTCCTTTTTAGGTATATGAACCATCAAGCCCTGCGGAGGGTCACTTCGGTCCTCAAGGAAGCTATGAGGGTTAGGGTTTTGAGCGGGCTCGTGCGCACGCAAACGCAAGCTGCAATGTTGTATTGGGTCGGGTGGCACTGGGCGTGCGCCCAGGGTTCTTAGGCTTCAGGGGCTTAGGGCTAAGTAAGTATCCCTGAACCTTCAACCCTTAACCCTAATTAAACCCCAAACATTTAGGGAGAAAACATCCTAAGAGCTCAAGGTTTCAACTTATAGGTCTGGCTCTACGAATGTCGTGGCTGCTGGGTAAAATAGGCCTGGCTTGTACAGTAGAACAGGGAATGAGAGCCCAGGCCCATCAGCCGATCAATGGTGAAACCGTGAAACCTTTGCAAGGAACCCCAATCTTCAAAGTTTGTTTCGCGATCCGGCACTCAGAGGTGGCTTCAGTTACAGTTGCTGGCAGATGTGGGGGGCGGCTGTCATTGTGTGGAGTTATCCGCAGGAGTATGTCTTACGCATCCTGTCATTGTGGTGATGTCGTTGCGTATGAGGCGTGAGTCAAAGAAGGGGCTGCAACTGGTTCTAAACCCGAAAAACCCCGTGAGTCTGGCTGCTGCAAAGCCAGAGCCGAAGCCAGAAGCTCTCGCGGCTGCTGGCCCCAAAGCCTGAAGAACTCCCAAAGCCCGAAAGACGCGGAGGCCCAGCTCTGTCCTGATGATCCGCTTCTCGTAGGTTTGCCTCCCGTTGATAGTACACCCCGCAACAAAAGCGACCCTTTCTTCCCTATGGTGCATCTCATGGCTTGTAGAACTCCGGGAAGGAATTGCGATTGGGATCTAAGTTGGAAACAATCCATACCCCCTTCCTTAAACAATACACCTCATTGGGTCTCTAGATCTAAATCTGAAGCTTCAACGGAAAAAAAGTAGTCAACTAGCATAAGGGGGAACATCCCAATACATTCCACTGTTTAACAGTAGGCTCCTTGAAAGCAGTCCCTTCGCAGGCTTGCCGCCGCCGGCCCCGCAGGCGTTCGCGGAGGCCTGGGATCTGTGAGCTCGCAGTTGCCGGAGGGTTTGGGGACAGGGGTTTAGGGTTTAGGGTTTAGGGCTTAGGATTTAGAGTAGCACTTATAACCCCAACGAGCATTGCGTCTGACAGGACCCCTTAATTAAGCCCCTAACCATGAGAGAGGGAGACAGGGAGAGAGAGAGAGAGAGGGCCTGCTGGGCTTGCAGCGCACTTCGGGTTTAGAGCAGGGTTGCGGATTTGTTTTGAGACAGTTGCGGACAAATCCTGGACTTGTGTCGACGACTCGACGATGTCTTTAAGCTTTCTCAGGAAAAAATGCTGCATGGCTACGACGGTTTTTCTCCATATTTTGTGGATTGCTTTACTAACTATCATCCATTCCCTAACGGCCAATACTGAGTAAGCCCTTCTTCCAGAATCGTTGAGTGTTTTCTGCTCTCATCTTAGGTCAGGGATTTTGGGATGCCTATCAGGTCGCAGGTCTGAAACAGCACGAGGCCCGCCAACACACCTTTCAGTGGCATTGTAGATCATGCAAAGCCCCTGAAAGCCCAAAACCGCACCCGGGCGAGCTGTAAGCTCTGAATTCCTAAACTCCAAAAAGGCCCTAAACCCTAAACCCTACACCTACTCCATAAACCGCACAAGCCCTCAACATCCCCCAGGTGTCGAAGGCAAGTCAGTTTTGTGAACCTTATGAGGGCATAAAGCTTAGGGGCTTCAGAGCTTATATGGGTTTAGGGTTTACAGTTGCAAGGTCAGATAAGCCCCTGTTTTCACCTTCTTGTTGGTTTTGGTTGCCTTATAAAGTAACCAACACCAACAAGGGTACCCTTATTTCGATATGGTTAGTGGTCTGCCCACTTTGGGTTTGTGTCGTGTAGGGCGTTTGAAAGTTGAGGGCTTAAACAGTCAGCAAGGGCAGGCACGTAAGATTCAAGCCCACTGCCCTGTCTTGCTCAACCCTGCACGGCGCGACAGTCCAGGGACAGGCACCGAGATCTCCAAACGGCCAAACCCCAAACCCCTAAGTCCCTAAACCTGAACCCCCCCAACCCTAAAGCCCTGAAGAGCCCAAGTCTTAAGTGGTGTGCTTCTTCAGCTCAACCCTAGACCCTTTATACCCTGAACCCTAGATTCAAAGCTACAAATCAAAGAACAAAGCTGTCCATTTCATCGCAGAACACGTCTCGTGGCGTTGTAGGGTGCCAAGACAAGGCGCATACGTCTAGGAAGGGAGCCATGGATGCGCTGCTCCACTCTGTTGAAAAGGTGGGCTCGGGAAGGGAGGAAGGGGGGTGGGGGGGGGGGGGGAAGGGGGGGGAAGGGGGGGGAAGGGGGGGGAGAGGGGAGGAGGACAGCATGCGTCGTTGGTATTGAGCGGGCGCAGGGTGTGTCTTGGTGGCTTAGGGGTTAGGTTGGCGTTAGGTTGGAGGCTTATGGGGTGCTTGCCTGGGTTGTAGCAGGGCTGCAGAGGAGCTAGGACGGGGAGAGGTTTACTGACCACACCGCAGGGTTTGCCAGGTTCATCCGAGAACATTGAAGATCTCGGCCGCCATTCTCAGATTGGTGCTCATTGCAGTGGCGGAGGTTCAAGACTACTTCGCAGAGGCGGGGCTTTTGTGAAATTGCGACAGCCAAGCTTCTACTGTGCTTAGCATGAGGTTGAACAGTCATCAAATCCCAACACTGCCTACCGGGGACTCTCTCAGTTTAATGGGCTATACCTACGAATTCAGGGGTAGCTACGACTAAACTGTAGGTAAACTGA